CCCTCATAAAAGAAATGCCACATTAAAGTATTTGATGTCACTAATCTGTCTCTAGGGTTAAAAGTAAGGCAGACTGCAGGTTTCCCCTCTGGGTGAAAGGTTTTGTTGGCTGCCATGTGGCTTGGGAATGTCCAATTATTTCCCATTTTAATATAGATGGCCTTTCCCAGTAGGGTTCTCAGCTGCTAAATTAGCTGTGGTTCAGCAGATGCTCTCTAAAACCCTCTGTGGGGAATGCAGCTTCATACCCTGGAGATTCTCCATTTACAGTGGAGCAGATGGGATGTAGTAGGCTTATTTTTAGTATTGTGATGCTATGATCTAGTTCTTTGTTATGGGTCACCCTGCAACAATGTAATGCATGTGCTCTAGATGAAGGTATTCCAATGTTGTTCAAGGCATAGCAAAGCTGTAACTAGGTGAGTTTTAACAGAAGATGAGCTGGATACATATGGTTAAATGTAGTTAATACTAAAATGGCTGGTGCTGCCCTGAGGGTGGAGCAGAAACCAGACTGTAGAAATGTGAAATGGCTGCAGAGCAGCTCTGAATCATAGACATGGGGTGTGGCTGGAGGAAAGATGACCATATTTGGTCATTAGGAAACTGCTAGTTTTAGAAGTCTAGAATATCAAAAGCTGATTGCAGCTGAAAGCGGAGCTTGGGCAAAAGAATATACAAGTGAAAATGTTCTTCACTCAATCTGAAATGTCTAAATTCTTTTTTTTCTTTTTTTTTTTTGGCAGGCTTCTCAAGGTATCAAGCAGCAGGATTGCTGTCTACAGGAAAGAAAGCTCAGAATCGACCTCGCTACTGAAATCCCTTATATCAGAGAAAAATGAGTTTATTAAACGACGAGATGCTTTTGGGGGACTTTCTGTCCCCCTTCAACCAGCCGTTTTTGGCGGCTGAGGAAAGTTTGGGTCTCTTGGATGACTGCATTGAGGTGCCCGGGTACCTCTCTTCGCATGGGTTCTCCAGCAATAAGGCTAAGAATGGCGTCTCCGAACTGCTGCCTTTGGTGGAATCCTTTAGCAGTGTTCAAGGTAAAAAGAACACCTCTTTTAAAATGCGAACAATGGTGTCACTGTCTTAATCTGAAGCAGTCTAGTAATATGGCCTTGTTACTAAAGCAACTAAATGTTTGATTGCAAAGTGGTGCTGCCCCCTGCAGTCTTATTGAGTAATGGAACACCTGACACTGATATGGATATCTATCTTATTCATGAAAAGTGCCTGACTTATGTATTTATTTATTTTTATTTTTTTAGGCTGTATAGTTAATCTGAATTTATTAATTATATCCTCTTGTTTTGTAGGGGATGCCTTCTCTGGCATGGATTGGATGGTGGAAAAGATGGATTTGAAGGAATTTGATTTTGATTCCTTGTTTGGGATAGATGATCTGGAGTCCACCATCTCACCAGATGAGCTTATGGCCACGTTGGAAGACTCCTGTGATTTCCTTGAGGACCCGTCTCTCCCAGTGGTGTCTGGCCAATGTGTACCATCACCAGACCCACTTTCAATTCCAGAATGCTCACTGGAGTCTGATCAAGTGGCTCCAGTGAGCCCAGAATTATCAAAGTCCCTAGTCTCTAGCCCAGACCATTCCTTTATCTTAGATGTAGGACTTGAAGAAGTTGTAGCTGGGGAGGATAAAAACACCATAGCAGTATACAGTCTTGGAATAAAATGTGAGAAAGAGGATTCCTCTGATAATGACAGTGGAATCAGCATGAGCCCCCCATATCTGGAATCTCCTCAGCAAAGCCCAGAATTTACAGCAGATAATCCAAGTAGTGTTCAGTCCATTCCTGAATCCCCAATATCTGAGAGACCCAAACCCTATGATCTTCCCTCTGAGAATAGAGAAGTGTTGGCAAAGGTAAAAGTAGCTGGAGGGCATCCCAGAGTAGACAAGAAAAAGAAGAAAATGGAGCAGAACAAAACAGCAGCCACTCGCTACAGACAGAAGAAAAGAGCAGAGCAGGAGGCAATATCTGGAGAGTGCAGAGAACTAGAAGCAAAAAATGATGCTCTACAAGAGAGAGCAGATTCTATTGAGAAAGAGATCCAATATTTAAAAGATCTCATTGAAGAAGTCCGTAAGGCCAAAAGCAAACGAGCAAAAAGTTCTTAAGTAGAAAAAAGATGGAGCGTTGTGTATGTTGTACATAGAGCTAACTCGGTTAAGTATTGTGTGAGAATGTCTGTCTACTAAATAAATTATTTTATAGTTAAATGGAATATGGTTTTTGGAGCCTTATTGGGGAATTAAGAGTATTAATGACTATCTGTGATGTCAAGTTCAACTAAGTTTATAAAAAGTGATATTTGTTTTGGTGGGTATTTTATTTTACCTGAACCTTTTTTTTATTTTTTTATTTTTTTCTTCACTTGCCCTAAATTGGTAACTTTCAATTTACAAAGTAGGAATTTAGTTCTCTAATTCTAAAACAGTTGTTTTACAAAGTAAACACAGAATTTACACAATTATTCAATAACTTAACTTTTACACAGCCTCATTTTTAAATTTTTCTTTCTTCTACCAAAAAGTGGCAGTCTGTTCAAAATGTGTAAACAATACAGTTGATTTCCTAAAACTCTGGTAGTACAGTTTTTCCGCATATTAGGTTCAGCTATCAACTGCATACATCTGAAAAACAAATTTAGCAGGGGTCGCCAAGAAATGGCCACATGTGGAGCTTAAAGTCCCATAGAAATAGTGGAACTTGGTCCAGCAATACTGCTCTTTACTCCCTACACCCAGTGTATTTTTGGCATTGAACTGTTTGATTGGCAGAGGAGTTAGAAAAGCACACTGTCACTCCCCCTTTAAAATTAGTATTTCACAAATTTCATATCCAGTCAAGAGATAAACAGAGACAAAGTACTCGGTCTATAGAAGATCTTGCAGGATCCTCCATACACCTCAATACTGGACTCTTGCGATGCACGAGAGTACAGCAGTGGTATTGGCAATGCAGGAGCTGAAGAGGATCTGCTGGAACAAGATGGCTGTGCCTGCGACTGACAGGTTCAAGTAAATCTCCCCTTTACCAGCAACCAATTCCCTCAGTGGCAGTGTCATTGTCAGTTCTGCGAATTTGACAAAGCCTTACAGTGACTATAAAACTTAATTTCACATTCAATGTTCTTATCCCAAATAAAGCAAACTTGGCATTTACACCTTGGATATGTGCAAACTGAAACATAGAACATAAATATAAATTATTTACATCCAACTTACTCCGTCTTGGTGCATGTATGGGGTACTGAAGTAGATTTTTGAGCCATGAACACCCTACCACCCAGACCTTAACCATAGTTCTCCCAGCTGTGACAGGAGCATGAACCAAACTGCGAATAAGACTGATCTCTTTCCAAAGTGGGGTTATGATAAAATGTTTTAAGGGATGGATAGGGCTTTAAATGAGACCCTCATTCACCCTATAAAATGTGTTCCTGGGTATTTGTGGGGCATGTTGCCCCCTCATTCTAAAAAGAGTTGCTTGTCTACAGGGTTAATTACTAAAGTGAGAATTAATTGTGAATTTCACATTTGAATGCTCTAGTAGCTGAAATGAAAGCATGACTGAAGTAGAGAATCTTTACAGTTTGGCTATATTGACCTTAAATTTAAAATTCATTTTTAAATCACTTTCAATTTAATCATATAGGACAGTGATGGCGAACCTATGGCACTGGTGGCACGCTGGGCACGCGGCAATAGCTCGCCATCAATGCAGAGTAGGCACCTACCTGCCCAAAACGGCAGGCGCCTACTCTGCTTCCGTGTCAGGGGGAGTGTTCTGAGAAGCAGCGAGTAATCCGTAATCCCGCAAGTAATCAGTGTGGAGCGTTGCCACGCGTTACCATGGCAACGCTCCACACAGCATCGGGAGGGTGGGAGAGCTGCAGGACCTGTCTCTCTTACCACCCCAGGACCACCAGGGATTTATGTGTGTCCCCTTCCCTCCTTCACATAAGGTAAGCAGAAAGGAGGGGGGGGAATTCAGATTGTAATAATATATTTGCAGCCCTCCCCCCCCAACACACACCCCCCTCTCATATATAGTACACAGCACCCCTCTCACACAGAGCACCCAGCACCCCTTCACTCACACACTCACAGCACCGCTCTCACACAGAGCTCCCAGACCCCCCCCCCACACACACAGTACCCCTATCACACAGAGCACCCAACACCCCCTCTCACACAATACCCCCTCACACACACACTCCGCACCCATACACTGCACCCCTCAATGCAGCATGTGTGTATATATTCAGCAGTTTGTGTGTACTCAGCATTCTGTCTGTGTGTGTGTGTGTGTATTCAGCAGTCTGTATGTGTATTCAGCAGTCTTTATGTATTGAGCAGTCTGTGTGTAAGTTTGTGAGTGCGTGTATGCAGTGGACTGTGTGCATGTATGCAGCGGACTGTGTGTGTGTGTGTCGGTGTGTATGTATTCAGCAGTCTGTGTGTATGTATTTTATGTATGTATTGCATTTGTTGGAGATACTAATAAATATAAGCCTAATTTTATCAATTTAAATTTTTATTCCTGTGAGTTGTGTGTAGGTAGGGCCCCAGTGCATTGCTTTGCCCGGGGCCCATAATTTTGTTAAGGTGGTACGGGTGGGTGGGATGGAGGGCTGCGAGGGAGCACTGACTTACGTGCTGTTACAGCACTGCTCCCTCCATTGATGCCGCCGGGAGACATGAAATGACGTCAATCAGGCGCTGCCGCCTGATTGACGTAATTTCCTGTTTTGTCGGCAGCATCAGCAGAGGGAGCAGTGCTGGAACAGCACATAAGTCAGTGCTCCATCGCGCCCACACCCCCTTACAGTAGCGGGAAGGAGGTAGGGAGACTGGGAGGACTTCAAACTCCCATCCGCACCAAAAAAAACCCCATTATTTATGTGCTGGTAGGGAGAGTGGGGATATCCTGGCGTAGTGAGGGGAAGATGCCTAGGGGAGAGAAGAGGAGGATTAGTTCGGACAACTGTACGATTTTTTTTCTAAACTTAAACCTCAGTATTCAGGTTTAATTGCCGTGTTGGCACTTTTAGGGAGGAAAAAAAGATGGCATGTATTGTGGTTTGGGCACTCTGGCTCAAAAAGGTTCGCCATCACTGATATAGGAGCTATGTGGACCCCTAATAAACATGATTTGCAGGTGGTCTGCTGTCTAATTGCAGTCACCGGGATTACCAGTGATGTGACTTCTTCATATCACTGGACTGCTTGGAGCAATTAATATGGTCTGCTCTACCACACAACTGCGGCTGCACCGGGAACACATTGGACTACATAGAAATGAATTATTGCAGGGTGCAATTATCTAAAAACAAAAGCCATTACAGTGTGGGAAGACTTCCACACACTCACCTTTCCACAGTCACTCAACCCTAATCTTGTTATACTCACTAGCCCTCACCCTGCTACAATCACACCCCCCCACACTATCATACTCACTGCCATAACCTGTTACACTCACCACTCCTCATTGGCATTCATATTGTGTGCAGGAAATAGGGTTCCCCATTGGCAAGGTTAGCCAATGTCTGAAATAGAGAAACTGCAGCATAATCATCTCACTGCAAGGTCAGTCTTTTGCTTTGAGATATTTGTACAAACATTATTATACAATATACCAAACGTAACGTGTATATTTTAAGAACTGTACAGCAAACTAAAATTAAATAATGTTATCAGATATAATCTTTTTAAACAAGTCTACAAAGTAGTGCTGAAATACAAATGTAAATAAAACATTAAATTATAAATCATTTAATTTAGTATAAACTGTGTCTCAGATTTCTAAAGGTTACTTGGACAGTAGCCAACCAGGTTTTGATTAGGGTTAATGTACAATTTTCTGGTTTGCTTTAATGTTTTCTTTTTTTCCTGGCATAGCACAAATGTCCTTGAGTTTCACAAAATATTCAATAGGACCTGTTTGGCAACAATACTGTTTGAGCATGCAGAGGCTGGTTTGGCTCTGAATCTCCGAAAAAATCTTCAGCTGGGTCAACATATTTGACATATTTGACATTTGCTTGTACACAAATGTTATCATGAACAGATATAATTTTTTTTTTTTTTTAACATACAGGTCATGCTGTCCCCTTTGATCCACATTATTATATTTATATAGCGCCATCAGATTCCGTAGCGCTGTACAATGGTGTAACATAGGTATGTGTTCACAGATTATGAGAGTTTTTTCCCCTAGATCTGTAGAATGCATAATAATATTTGTAATGTCTTCCTTTAGAACATGATTTTTAAATTTAAAAAAAGGTATATCATTTTTACACTAGGTTTTACCTAGGATGACAAAGTAGTTGAACTGGAAGCAAAGCTGACTTAGTGAAATTATTCCAATTCATTTGTATTGGCCTTAAGTTTGAAATTCAGTTTGAATTCTCAATAAAATATATACAACAAAATTAACCATTATAGGTTACAATGTGTTAAAACGAGTAGGGAAAACCTCACAAGTGTTCAAACACAAAATATTAAAAGTAAACAGACAAAAGAGAAAGTAGAAGGATACCTAACAATAGTGTGTAATCAAAGCGTATATAAATACAATATGTAAAATGGAATATAAGACTATATATAGACCCACAGGGGATACACAAACACAAATTATATAGTGCATTACATTATGCACTGATGGGAAGGAGGAGAATGGTGTTCGAGCACTAACAAGATGCAAAATAATTCCAGGCTGGTCTCTCCCACAGGGGTATTCCAGTTGAAGTATATCTTCACTCTGTAGCTGAATAATTTTTGATGCATGTAGGACAGAAAGAACAGGAAAGATCGTGGAATATTGTACATAAATTGATAATGCACTTAGAGGAGCAACAAAATATGTGCACCACATATGAAGAAAGGGTATCTTTAGTAAGCAGGTATACTCCCAATCGGCAAAAAAGCTGGACACCAAAGCAGGAAAAAGTACAATAAAATAATTACAATAATGGATGTGATCCAACGCGTTTCATCCATCCGGACTTCTTCAGTAAGACCCTTCTCCCCATTCCCGTCAGTGCTTACTGTATAACACTATATAGTTTGTATTTGTTTTCAGATATCCCCTGTGGGTATATATATTGTTT